TTGCATATACTAATACTGTAGTCAAGTGCATGCCGGAGCGATGTTGCTGAAATGAATACAAGTTGATTCAGGCAACAGTGGATGCATACTGAAAAGCAAAAAGTATCAGACCAAACATTTAAATTGTAAACTTAGGAGCATGAAATGAATTTGTCCTGGTGGAGCATGTTGACCGATATACAACATACCACTCTCTATTTATTTTTAAATTAGATACTTTCACATTATTTTACACTTTTATTTAGATATTTGTGGAATATACTCACATTCCCGGCACACTGTTGAGTCATTTTCTCCTCAGTAAGCATAAACGCCTATTTCTAAAACAGCGAGGGCCAGTGCGGTCACTGTTTGTGTGGACAGGAACTTTGAGACAGTCCAGAGAGCTGGTTTAAGCCGGCAGCAGAGGCCACAGGAGGTCTTTTGCCTCAACTGGGTGTGTACACATAGCTGTGTTGATGAACTTCACCACAACTTTGCTCAGTTTTACCTGCCCCAAGCTCAGGAGCAGCTTCAAGCTACATTATATATATCAAAATGAGATGTGATAAATTGAAGTCTAAAATGTGACCTCTCGTTGTGTACATGCAGTTAAATGATAATGGTGTCTAGTAAACAGTGGTGACGGTGATGCAGCAGTGCATAAAGCATGCCTCTTCTTGTTGTTGGAGTCTTAGGGGGGCTGACAACTCCTGCTCATAAAATGTCTCAAGTCAGAAAGGCGATAAGGATGCAGGGTTAATGCGGCTTGGCACACAGTTTTATTTGTGCGGAGGCAGCGAAGTCCTGCTCTTCTACCCCTTCTGGAGTCAAGCAGAGTGGATACTGTTGCAGGACGAGAAGCAGTGGTGCGATGGGGGATGCTTAGTTGAGATAGAACGTGTAGGCGGGAGAAAGAGGAACTGATGACCAAATGAGAAGTATAATGCAGAACTGAATTGATGTACGACTTAAAGCTGGTCAAAATTACAATGTTATATTATTTACTGGACTTTCACACACAATAAATTGTCATTAAAAGCTAACAAACTGGGTTATTGAAGTTTTATGTTTGAAAGTGTGTGACCCGGCAAGCAGTCATTGTTTCCTTATACGGATAATTCGAAAATGCACAAACCAATGGGTGACGTCATGATAAGTTTACACTTTCTTGTGACTTATCAAGCCGGAACTAAATTTAGGCTGTGGTTCTTGCAGTGGAAGTGTATGAAATGGTGTAATGCGATGATATTACAAAGCAAATTACTGTTCATAAGAATTGATTTTCAGTCATGTTGCATGTAGTCTCTGTAAAAATCTCATCACTTGGTTTCTTAATCCTGAGCTGCAAGGATTCTCTACTGCTCTACATGAATACATAATGAGACAAGGCTCGGTAACAAAACAGTTCCTTGTTGGTGTTAGGGATGAGCACCAGTGGGAGCAAAACTGTACAACAAGGCTCCACATCACTGCTCACCTATAGCTATTTGTATGTGAGTCAACACCAAGCCTTCTGTCTTTTTAGGGAGGGGCAGTGACCCTATCATGGACACGGCCTGTTAAGAGAAGCAGCCTTTTCTTATCTGCATGCCCTTGGAGTACGCGCCCATTGATATGCCACCTTGACTCTATCTTCATGCCAAGATGCTTCCAATTATGCGAGCCGCTGGAGTGAGGCAGAGCGTGGGTTTCTGTACGATGAAAACTGGTCCATGGGTAATGTGATCCTGCTGCTTTTCCCCCCACAGGGATGGTTTCCACTTATGGAAGGAGGAGTCAAAGAACAGCCATCTCTCTACTCAACACTTCCCAGTTCACTACTTTCCCCACATCGTCTCATGACCCCATAAGGTAGACTGATCCATTCAGTAAATGGTTAATCACCGGGGCCTGAGCTCTGCATGCAACGTGCATCTATTACATCCAGCAGTTCAATACATCATGTGTGGGGATTTTCGCTGTGACATCAGTTCCTGTGTTATGAATCTTTCTTTAGATGCCTCTTTTTAGGCAGCCTGATGTTGCCTGGCAGAGGTGACGCCACAGTCAGGGCAGCCCTGTGACTGACAACAGGCTGTCACTCATCTGAAGTGACAAGCTCTGTGTTAGACAGCCACCGGGAAAGTGAGAGATGGGTGGAGAAGAAGTATGGAGACTGACTGTTTATAGCCAGTGGAAGCTTCTTCACCTACCAGGATGGTTGTGTCAAACATCATTCTCTTCTATTATGTCTATTTCATTGTCAGGCTTCCAGAAATCTCTCTCTATTTGCACTGTGGACAATTTATACAAGGAAAGTATCTGCACAGTGATTTAAGTCTTAACTCATTCAGTGATGAAATGCTCTTCTTCTCACTTTACAAGTTCTCATTCGTATTCCATTTATTGGGTTTCCCTCACTTCCAGAAGAGGGCAGCACTTCTTTACCAAATGTTATTGTAACCTCTGCCATATACAGTATTCCTTCGCTTCAAGCTCTGCTGTGTAATTTATTGAGAAGTGTGCAGACAGAGGCCATCATCTTGACTTTTTCGACACAAAAAAGTCCAGAAGATGCTGCTCATTCCCTGCATGCTTCTCACCCCTTTAATTTCATCTTCGCTATTTTGAAAAGGAAGCTTTTCAGACTAAAACACATCTTGTCACATACACTGTGATTTATGAAAATGCACAATACAATTTACACAGTAGACCTCAGTCACTTCCACTTGTATTGCCTGTCGCCCTTCTTCTCCCTTTTCTTTTTCCCTCTCTCTCCCCTTTCTCTCACATCTCGCCTCACTCTTACGTTTCCCCCCTCTCCCTCTTTGCTTCTGCTCCACCCTATAATCACGCCGGTTCATGGCTCTCATTTGGAGTGGTATATATAGCAGTAATTGTCAGGGTGCAGTACGGAGACTGGGCAGAGCATGTGTACTCTCTCACAGGGCTGTTTTGCAATAAATCTGGTAGTGGAGAGGAGAGGATTGGGATGGGGAGGTGGGGGGGGGAGAGCATGCAAGCACTTGCGCACACATAAAGATACATTCACTTATACACAATGCTCAAACAATACAATGAGCACATAGAGAAGTAGATAACATTTTCCAAGCACCTAAGAAAAGACATTGTACTAATTTGCAAGCGCTCTCTTTGCATCTGTAAGTCATTATATCTCACTGACTATTCATTTACTCTCTCAATGGGCCAGACATGGAAATTGAATGTCTCTCATAATGTGTTTTTCACTCAACAGGATGGGACAATTATGCAAATGCATTCATTATTCAGGAACGCATAATCCTTATTTGTAAATATTAACAACCCCAGGTGATGAGTTGGGCCTTGTGTGTCAGGTGGTCTGCTTATGATTCATGAGCACATGGAAACACACTCACATAACACTGTGTATACATACAAAATAATGAAAACAGGTAAATCAATTACAAGTGGAAGAAAACACTAATGAGCCTTCTCATCAGCTTCATAGATAATACAGAAGCAGCTCGTCACCCGTGAACGTGATAAAAAGCAAGTCATCATGAGGGCCGCACAAAACCAGACACTTCCCATTATCAAAGCTGCCACGTGGCTTTCAGTAAAGACATTCCTGAACAATAATCTAAAGTTTGATCACTAAAATCCTTAATCATGTCTGTCTGCCGTATAAACCATGGAACACTGCTTCCAAAAGAGAAAACCTGTTATGCAGTCCAGTTGTTTGTATGTGTGTGTGTATGTGTGTGTGACAGGGTGGGGGTTTCCTTGTAGCTTGTATGGACAGGTCTGTCATTCAGAGAGTGCACACAGTCTCCATTGTAGAGCCGCCTGTGGTCCCCATCAGGTCAGGGTGGGGTGGCAAGGGGGCCTCCCGAATAAAAACACTTGCTGCAAACAGGAAGTGGGCCTGTAAGGATAAAACAAGAACTGCGTGGCCGAGTGTTTATGAATAGAGTTTGGTAATATTTCCTCAACTCTTTGTTTCTCTTTCTTGATGGAGTGATTCAGTTTGCTTGGGTTTAACTTTGGAAGTACGTCCACACATGTCCTCACTGGACAAGACTGGGCCTTCCTGGAGATGTAATCAAGTTCTTTTAAAGCAAGTTCCAGACACTAGTATCTAACGTCTGTTGATGAGATAATTTGAGTTCTTTCAATGGTAGTGACATGTTTCTGAACAAGTGAAACTGCACAGATAGCAAGTGGATTTATTTTTAACCTGCACTTTCATATTTAAAAAGTTGAACAGAATAAAAATAAAACATTTTAAGACCTAATATAAGATAATCTGTGAAGTCCACTATACTTGTTTACAGTATATGTGCATTGCCTATGTGTTTATAGGAATGAAGTTTGCTTAAAGTGCATGAAAGGATGCTGAATGTGTGAGTACACTCCATGAACCCAGGTGCTCTGCTTTCAAGTATTGCTTTCCTGTTTGCCCAGCAGCTGTTTCATCCCAGCGAGAGACCACTTCACAGCTCCGCTGTTTTCTTTCTGGGTGGACTTGTCAGCTCTGATCAAATCAGACTTTTGTTAAGAGTAAATTTCCTTTCCAGACATAGCTGATTACTCCACCCACTTCTACCAGATTTGATATGCTTGAATTTAGTCATTAATTCCTGGCAACTTTTGTGTATTTTTGTTACTGAAATGGTAAGGCGATTTCTCGGTTCTCATGAGGGGCAGTGTTTGCAAAGGATTAAGTCACAGAAAATCTAACAGCTTGAAAGGGTTGTCTTTGGGCAGCCAAGTCATTTTAGGGGAAACTTTGTAAAATAAAGTTCCAGTATTACACCGGCCTTTAAGTATCTAAAAACCAAGAACCCACAGTGCTTGAGTAACCAGTTTGGACAGATCATATCTCGCCACAAAATAACTCACATGTATCAGAGCAGGTGGAAGAAAAATGCTGCTTCTTGACGCAGAGGAAACATACAATTGGAGCCACTTTGTCATCAACAAATATTCTGCAGGATCATGAATTAACAGCAAGAAGGAGGCAGGAAGCAGAGGACAGCTTTGTATGTGATGAAGTTTTATTGATTCACAGTAATGATGAATGAATGGATTGTTCTGCAACTGAAATTTGCTTCTGACTCAGCCAGTGTCTATCCATAGTTATCCTAACTTTCCTCAAGGAAAAACATAACAAAACGTATCACCTTTATACCTTAATTTTTTACCTGCAAAATAAACATGTGGGTACAGATTACTTTTTGTAAGAGTGCTGACAAAAGAAAACATTTCCAGTTCATTTGGTGTTATCATGTATGCATCACAGCTAAAAGCAACCTAAATCACATCAAAATGGCATGTTATTTTTACTCCTTTAGATGAGGTCAAAGTCCCTGAGAGCACAGCGTTCTATGAATGTGATTGTAGATAAGCACCACGTAGCTCACACTCTCAGCTTTAAAGACAAAATAAAAGCATAACTGGCCATGGGAAAAAAATGTCCCAGTGCTATGTCTACAGCATGGGTACAAATACAGTAATATAATGAGAGTGGTAAATGTGAACCAACTTAAGCTATGGAATGATATATAATTTTAAATAACACACAGAACAGACCATAGTAATATGTCAATAGCAACTGTACACAAGCACAAAACAACAGAAAAGCAATCACTCATTTTATCATAACATTTGGATCTCCAACAGTTTTTAGTAATAGGGCTGACTGTGTTTGGCAAGGTGTGCCTGACTATAAAAGGTTATTCTAAAAAGCTACAAATTCTTCCTGAGCCTTATTCGTGGAGTCATAAAGGCCCAGTGAGTAGGAAGATAATCTGTTAAAGGGATTAATGAAGTCTACAGTTGTCTTTATGAGTGACGTGTCCTTTCCACAACGTGTCCTGGAAACTGTCCATTAGAAAAACCACCTTAACAAGTTCAACCACTCAGACAATAAGCCAAACACATCAAACACATTAATGGAGTCAAACACGAATAACACAAGTTCCATGTTGTAAAGAAAATGGAGTTGCATCATTGTTTGGTGTGGAGCTACAAGGTTAGCAAAGAAAGTGTAGAAAGACACAGTATATTTTAGCGGGCCCAGCTTAAGTAAAATAAGGCCACTGTTTACTGTGTTGATGCATGAATTGAGGAGTTTATTTTTCTCCCAGACAAACATGTTTTTCTCATTGGGGAGCTGAAAATGCCAACTTGTGGTCTCTGTATGGCTGCCTACAAAAAGGCTGGTAGTAAAAACTGTATGTCTGCGTAAGTCCTTCTCCAAACTTAATCCCTTTCTCTCTTTCTGTCTTACTTTCTCGTTCTTTCTTTAAATCATCGTCTCCCTCACTAAATCTCTCAGAAAGTCAGAATCTGTGTAAAGATGGAACTCCAGATTCTTGCTCTTTCCCTGATTCCATAAGAAACAATTCCATAGTGTTTCTTTATAAAGCACATGCTATATCCCTAACCTTAACCGTAACCTTAAGTCTAACCCAAACAGACATAATTAAAAGGCTTTTTATATGCTCTCAAAACCCAGCCTGCCTGCCTACCACAATACTGTGGTTTTGTCAGGCCGGTTCTCCCGCCCATCAGAGAGGCTGGAAGAGAAAACTGTACAGTTACAGTTGTTTTAATAACTAAAATAAAATAAATCAACTATTATTTATCTGCATCATGGGAACTTACTAATACTATCCTGCAACTACTGTATGAAATCAGTTTTTCCACCCTGGTTAATTATGTCAGAAAAATAAAAAATATATTCAGTACTGTTAAATAAAAGCTTGCTAACAAACTCTTTACTGAGCATGCTGTATATGTGTGAAGTCCAGGAATAAATAAAGTAACAGCATAAATAGTACATTGTATATGAAAACTAAACACAAATCTTATATTTCACTTTCTGAAAATTAAAACACAACAGAGTATTTTTTCAGATACCACCTTAAAAAGTCAATTTGGTGGCTAATTAAAAAAGTATGGGGGCAAAACTAGAATACTGATGTTTAAAAGATAAAGTGCTTTGTTCCATAAAAATCATCTGACCATTTCTTACCTACTCTAGATGAGAAGCAAAACTTTGTAGCACGACTACACTTTTATAAAACAATGATTTTGTTAAAAACCAAAGCAAAGATAAAATACCTAAATAACTGTAAAAGAAAACTACCCAAAATGCATTGTACAACACTCTTCACCTGAAATGTAGTGAGGTTAATATAACGACATACAGTATTGTTAAAGAGCACCAATATTGAAGTAATGTAAAAGCGCAACAATTACAAAGGATCCAATAAGTAAAGAATTTGTTTGAAATAATGTCAACAGAGCCAATTACCATACCTTTGCTACATGTGCATTAAATCAGCCTTTTGTGACAAATTAAACAAACTCACAATATATATTTTTTTTTTCTTCAAAGATTTTCATATCTTCTAGCTTGGGAATGATATTTCCCAACAGCACCGACTTCCCCGTTGTCTTTGTGACAGATTAGTTATCGCGACATTAAGGTCTTTCATGCGTGTACATTTTGAATAACTAACTTAAGTTACTAGTCGTCCACATTCACAAAAATCTGTATAGTTTGAATCAATATCCAATATCTTCTTACTTAACTAGTAAAAAACATGTTGAGCTGTCTGGCACCTGTTCCACTCTTGCTGTCAATGGAGTCTCTGCAATGGTCGCTGCGGTGTTTATGATGATCTTATGAATATTTTATCCACATCTGCCAAGGAGATGAACAGGCGCCGTTCTGTGTGTTCTCTGTTATTGCGGGTCCTAAGGTCCCAAGGGCCTGGGGCCATCGACCTCAGCCCATCCTGAGTTGTCTCTGGGCCCCACTGGAAGGCCTTCGTACTGGGCCCTGGGATGGGCTACACAAAGTTGTTTGTGATTTGCCTCTGGTGCTCAAACAGGTCTTCAATCTCTGCACTGTATGCATCACCTAGAAGGGAAAAAAAGACCATAGCTATCAGTGACAGAAGAGGGAAGGAACTGATGATGAGGATGAGAAAGAGGAAAAGGGTTTTCTGCGCTCACCTGCGTGGCATCCATACATATAAGCTCTGTGGCCATCATATTTGCACCGACATCTCATGACATTGTTCATAAAGTCAGACTCAGCCATGTCCATTGAGGGGTTGACTTCCACCTGCAAAAGACACGTATGATTGTTGACTGTTGACTGTTGACAACAAGCATAGATCCAATATCACAACAGCTGTTGTTTCTGACCTTATGACTTACAGCGGCGTATTTCATCATCACAACAAACATTTATTAGGAAACAGCGAGAGTTTATCACTTTGTTGTTCTCACTTTCATCTAATACTGTATCTCCAGCGGGTCAGGCACATGGTCAAACAAGGAACAAGTCTCCTCTCTCTACACACTGAGAAAGCCATTTCAATAAAGAGCAGTTGGATGTAAAATTGTTAGAGGGCCTGTTATTAAACAGCACTCGTGGCTGGTATTGTTTTTATAGTCTATCCCTTTCTCATCTATAAAAAGCTGGATGACTTTTCCATACAGTATTCCTATTTGGAAAGATAAATACACTATAGACACAAGGTTCTCATGGAATGATGTTCACTTGGTAGTGTACAGCTAGGCATATGGACTGAACAACATGTGGCAGTAAAACACTTGCTTTTAACATGTTCTGCAAAGCACGAAACACACTGGTAGATCTTTCTAAGGAAAGCCTATCGTAAAATACTTTATAACTTGTATGAAAACATGTAACAAAGAGAGTCCTGCCCACACAAAACATGACAACTGGCTGCATAAGAGATTACGCAACTTTACAGATCGAGTTCATACCGCAGTGTAGCCCCCAGCTCCTGCAGAGGCTCTGCTCCTCATACCAACATAGGTATGCAATGATAAAGACTGAATTAGCCTAAAATTGACGTCTGTTGCAATACAGTAGTTATGCATAGGCATGTTTATGTGTCTGAAATCTGTCTTATTCTGAGTGCTGCCATACGCTGTACTAATAGTCTGTCATTTGCAGAGCAGCTCTATAACTGCTGATACAACCAATTCTCTTAATCCGGTCTGGTGATAATACTGAGAAGCCATTTACTCTAATAGCTGCTCTGTAAACTGCTACACCCACTTTAAGTACATGTTACAAACAGCTACAGGGAGAAAGAAGGCAAACTACACAAAAACTTAAAAAACTTAGTGAATGCACAAAAACTCTTCTCTCTTAATTTCTCAGGGTAAATTACAGTGTTGGACCGGTGTGTACGAGGGTTTTTGCAGAGGGCTGGCTCAGTGGCAGAATGTGTTACTCAGTGAGAAAGTGGCAATAAAAATAAAAACAGGGCAAGAGGAATTCCTTGGTGGCAAATTAGCCGTTCCTAATGGAAGGGGGGACTAGCTGCTGTTGGCTACAGGGAGGCAATAGTTAAATTGGGTAATTGGTGTGTTTCATTAGCAGTGGGTGGTTCAAGGGGAGGCCTGCTCAACCTTTCTGTAAAGCCCAGGATCAGAAAAGTCAGGCATCATCTGCACTTTACTAGATAAATGAGAGAACACAGAGCAGAGAAGCAGAGCTGTTGTAAAAGATGTTTGTATTTTTCCAATTCTGCAGCCTTGGTGAAAAACTAACTCCCGGCTTGGCTTACTTTGCAGTTTCTCTTTTTTCCCCCTCTCTTATTCTTCTCAGTTGAATTTGGCTACGTCCCCTTAGTGCCGGTCTCCTCAAGTGACCCTGACCTTTTCCCTTTAAGTAGTTTTTCCAATTCTCCATTTCTGGCCTCTATCATTCATTCCTTCTTTCCGCCTCCACATTGTGCTGTAGCAATGTACTACTTTATAATTATACATGCTTAAAATACATCCAGTCGGCACATATATGTTTGTGTCAAGTCTATTATGAGTAAATTAAATAAATCTATTTTCAATAGAAGAGAAGAGAAGTGTAATTACAAAGATTGAGTGTGACCTCTCAGACAAACTGGGTTAACAGCAGTAATTATCAGTCAGTCAGGCACACTGTAACCAGTCTTCAACAGCTGGAAGGTAATTGGCAGCATGAGATCTGAAGACTACTGCATACCATGGTCAGATCAGTAGTCTAAACTGGAAATGGAGGATAATGGGATATAGAGCCCTTGATGTGTTTTAGTGTAGTAGCCACAATGACTCGACTGATTGACCCTGGTCAAAGTAATAACAGACAGAGGAATGGTTGAGGTGATGACTGTGATGAGGTAGGTCAGGAGGTTTTACTGAAATAGATGGAAAACCCCAACAAATCGTGAAGAAGTCCACCTTAAGAGCCTGTGAACCTCTTTCTTATTATCTAAATCTTTGCCTTCATAGGAATAGTTAAACATTTGGGGAATTTTTTTTATTTGATTTCTTGCCAAGAGTTAGATTTCTACTGCTCTCATACCTGTACACTAAATGTTATCTGTTAGCTTAGCTTAGCAGAAAGACTGGAAATGGGGAAACGGTACGCCTGGCTCTGTCCAAGGGTAACACAATCCACATATCAGCTCCTCTAAAGCTGACTATATGTTGCAAAAGGGGGAGATGTGAAAAACACAAAATGACTTCTGACCTGGAAGATGTAGTCTCCTGGCCGTACATCTGTCACGTCAATCCACTGGCAGTCGATATCATGGCGATATGTATCCCAACAGCCCACAGAGATGCCCTGATCACCCATGTTATAGCAGGAGAACCGCTTCTGGAGTCCTAACACACATACAAACACACCAACAACATTATCAATCACAGCATCAAAGCTCATTTGATGCTTGGCACTCCCTGTTATTTTTAAGAGCCTTTAGCTTCCTGAATTGTGTTAGACCACATATGAACTCTGCTTCTTCATGAGTTATTTCATCCATGATATAATAAATAAATGGAGAGTGAACAAACAACAACAGCAGTGATCTAATACATTAACCACAAAGTAAAAATCTAAATAGCTTTAGCTGAAATATTGATATTAATTTCCTGTCACTAATGGGAAAGACTATTTACCGGGACTCATGAATAGTGGTGAACATTACCATCGGGGCAGTAAGTGTCCTCCAGACAGAAACTAGCCTTGTGTCCCTCTGCAATCCTCGTGCCATTCAGAGTCAGCAGGTCGTAATGTGTGAACACCTCGATGCTGTGATAGTGCCTAGGACGACAGAAGGAAAAGTCCAGGTGAGAGTGTGTACGTCTGTGTGCATTTACACTAAGTGAACACTGGCTCCCTATGGCCTGTAGCCTAATGACCTCACTGCTTGAACATGAGCGTGGGTGTCACCGTAACACCTCTCATAGAAGCTTGTTTTAGGGCCGGCTTGGTTGAGATGTTTACTCACTCTGAGTGAATGGAGGGCTTTGAAACTCACATCCATAGCTCTGATGTGTTGTTGTAACAAACTGAGGCGGACCTGACCATGCGTGAGCTACCCTGTCCTTTGTATAACACCCGAACTGTGGTAACTGGATTGGTTCAACCGTCATTTCCACAGACACGTGCTGCAGGGCGGCTAATGAATTTGGAGAGATGACAACAATGTTTCAGGCCACCCGTAATTTACTGGGACACATCATACACAGCCAATACTGTGGCCTTCAAGTGGCTCCTTCTTCTCTCATGACGACAGGCCGGAAAGTGCTCTCGTCATGTGACAAGAAACCAACTGACTGAGGTGAGCAAACTAAGAGGTAGAGTGGAATGTGTTAAGAGTAGACCTGAGGACAATATTTCATCTATTTACAACTAATGGACAAAATGCTGCTGCGGCCTGGTGGCAGACAAAGGCTCTTATGTTTAATGCCTATGTTGCACGCTACCTGCAGACCCCTCGTCAAACCAGAGATCACACTTCAGCGTGTTTTCTTTCCAGGTAGCAATTGAACGCAATTAAATTAAATATAACTCAAATAACTCAGCATGGAGGGAGCTATGTCATTAATGCACGTACAAGCAATCTTGTGCGAGAAACAGGTGTTTGTCAGAGTATTTTTCACAGCCTCTAAAAACCACAGCTCACCCGTTTTCAGGACACTCTAAACCACAGTCACTTAGAATAATCATAAGGGCAACCACAACATCCCACAAATAGTAAGTATTTAAACAGTTCTTTCCATTGCAACAACCTACACACCACACAGCGATGTAACACCTTCATAAACTCCTCAGGGATGCTCTACCTGTGACACTGGTGCCATGTCCAGCTCTCTCTTGTTGCTTTGGGTCTGAAATCTGACCGACCCAGGTTCATGATGCGGGAGGAGAAGCGCAGCAGGCGTCGGTGGCCATAAGGCCAGTTCATCCTGGCAGCAGACGAGGACAGACAGTTCTCCTCATTGGCACAGGTCAGCAAGTGGAGGGGTCGGTCTTCCAGGTAGGCTGTTTCCTGGACCAGCTGGGCATCCAGAACGAGGTCAGGTGCCGCTGAAGTAGGTCAGATGTGAGAGGTTATGTGAGGATTCAAAGAAATTTAAAATCAGAGGAGCTACAGGAAGATGGCTCCACTTACTGTCTGAACAGCTGACCCCCGCAGCCTTATTTCCACCTCCCCGAGGACAATGGACATGGTTGTTGCGACGACACTGTTGAATTGAAAACTCTGTGCCCACACAATGAGTGCCACTGAGAATCACATCAGCTGCATTTGGGTCACCCGACCAGTACCAGGTCTCCTGTGAAAGGGAGGGCATGGGGGTGGGGTGACAGGACATCAGGTATTCTATCAATGAGCAGTATCATAGCTCATTGTCCACCAAAGTGGATATAGGGGCTGCGACTATGGATTGGCCTCCATGTGTTCATTTGTTTAAACATCTGTTTGTTTGTTCTGTCATCAATTACTCAGACACTGCTGATAGGATTTTGACAAATCTTAGAGGAATGATGCCTCAAACTACTCTAGTCTGATGTTTTCAAATTTGCACTTATTGGTTTAGAGGTGGGAGTGCCACATTGCTCCAGGACATCATGCCCACAATTGTAGACACTGATGATCTGAAAAGTTGGCGGTTGTACGTTGTGGCATTGTCAAAATGACCCAGGTTAGGGGGTGGCACTACAATCAGAGATCAATGCTTCCTCAGTTATAGATGCTCTGTTGGTCAGGGGGACTGTTACCTGATGAGCACTGGCAGCGAAGCCCAGGCCGAGCTGTCTGCACACCACCATGGCCTCGTTGATGCCCCAGTTCTCACTACAGACAGAGCCCCAGCGCTTACGACCCCCAACCTCAATCAACACCTCCACACGGCCTTCTGACGGGACTCTACCACCAGCAAGCCGCACCTGGAAATCCATTAGATCAAAGGGATTAAATGGGTGATGAGCTATCAGTGAAAGCTGATAAGTGTATGTTTTGTGTAGTTTTCATACCGCGTTCTCTATGCCGGTCTTAGGGACGTTACAGCGTACTGAGGCATCCTGGCTGTGTTTGAATGTCCACGGTTGAACTTCCTGGAAGTAGCAGTCTAGGATGGAGCGCTCTGACCCCATACACTGGACACTGTTCATATGAATAGGTCCTGTACCTGTAGCGGGAAGATGAGGTTTAAAGACTACCCTGACAAATAGAAAACAGGGACAATACAGAAATCAAAAGAGCTTGGAGATAACTGCAGGACAACATTTCTTGTGCACTGCTTAGGGCCACCCAACATAGACCCAACATAATGAGATTAACAGGCTTTATCACGCAATGGAGCACAAAGGCACACTCTGTATTTCTTTTTAAGTGTGCTTTCTTTACTTTATCGTCAAACCAAGAATGAAAACTTGCCACGACAAAAGGCTCCTGCAAGCCAAGCAGAAGAGCCAGCAACATCAACTTTGAGGATCTGTCATGCCTCATTACCACCATTCTGTTGCTTTAGGCACAACAACAACAAAATTGTGTGTAGTCCACCACCCTGGGTGAGCAAACAAGACCAAGTCTGTGTCAACAAAATAAAAGACTTTCACTAGTATTCGTTTGACGTTTAAAACCAGATAATTTCCAAACATACAAGATGGTGGAAAAAAAAACTTAAAATGGTGTGAAAGCAAACAGCTCCTGCCATAATGATTGTAGCATATGAAAACAGAACAAACTATGGCTTCTGTATTTTCTTAAAACAAAAGGCACAAAATGCAAACTTGGAGATGAGGTTGAAATAAACACAACCAAAACCACATAAACTGGGGGAAAGAGAGAAAAACCAAGAAAGAAGGGTGAAAAAGAAGATGACTGAAATGGTAGGGACCAGATTGCAGGCAAACCCAATCTGTCTCTGTGTTGGTTTGGTAGATTGCAGGCTTGCTTCCATACTGGTCACCATGCGTGGGTTCACACGTAAGAAAAAGACACATCTAAACCACTTCCGCCTCTATCTGTATGGTAAAGGCCATAAACTAGATCTAAACTCCCACTGTTTAAGTTATCAAGACAAACACGAGGCCCACTTGAGGGATCCTCAAAATGAACAGTGACATGTATTTAAACCTTAGTTCGGGAAATCCACGAAAACCCGAAATAAAATCCAAGAACTGGCCACACACACTTAACAGGCACACAACACGAGCAATCAGGGTGTTTTACTCCCTTATGTACGTATAGTACACTAAATGTATATGTACTTCACAGGCCAAATTACACAGTAAAATAACAATGTTGGCCAAGAAAGGAAATAGAAACATCGTCCCTGTAATTTAAATCAATGATGGTGATGATAAATGAAATGATGATGGGTGTTGGCAGATGGAGTTTGAACTGATCTTAGAACATTTTCTTCACTTTCATTCCTCCTGACATTAGCTTCCATAAACTTCAACATAGAATGTCAAAGATTGACAGCAGATACAGCTATGCAAGCAACACTGAGGCATAATATAAATGTGGTAGCTTAAATTCAGAATTTACAAGAAAAAGGTTGAGCTTGATTGCCATATAATTAGAATTGGCAGATGCCACAGATCATTTGGACAGATTAGAAAATTGACTTTAGGGGATGGAAATAGGGTAACATCGGTCACATTCTTGTTGAGAATAGTACAAATAGTTGGTTAGTGGTTACAAGGGAAACCCTGTTCTTTTCCTCTCTGAAATTACACTCCATTTTAGGCACATTAATGTAGTGTGTGTAGTGTTTTTCTTTCCATGGAACGTCTCTTTCTATGCCTCTTTCTAACAAAAACCTTCTGTCATCAGACAGATCTGTTTCTTAGCCAAGTGCTAAAATCATTTAAATTTGTAAATAGGTCTGTCTGCCTGTGGGCTTTAGATGGCAGAAGCCAACCACCATCAAAGTAATGTTTCCTTTGACAAATATATTTCAAAGCTGTCTAACAAGTTATGAGGTGACACTTCACTTATCTCAGTGGGGGATTCTGTGCGCTTGAGTGTGTGTGTGTCGAGTGTCTCTGTATACCTCCCTCGCAGATAACTTTATATGTGCAAGCAAGTGTTTCAACAAATCTGATGAGTGAGACCACACTCGAAGCCAGAACCTCTGATTGGCAGACTGTCTACCACCCTCTCGAGCCAACCTGCCAGTCGACCACAACCTGTATCACATTATCACATTTAATCATCATAAATAATTCAACACTCACTGTGGGGTCCTGATGCTAGACTGCTGACTGAAAGATTTGAAAGTAATCATGAGAAGTGCCATGTGTAATACATTGTGATGTGAATAGTGTATTACCATCTATCTCAAAATGTTTATGATATAATGATTTTAAAAAGAAATGAACTGTATGCACAACTCAAACATTTGTACTACATTTAAAAAAAACTCATGTTCAGGATTTCTTCTTTCTCAGTGATGGATCTAAGAATCTAATTTAGGCCTTTTCTAACAACATATACCCCTGTGTTTATGTGGCCTTCGAGCACGTGGAAAATTATATGTCAGTAAAATGTCTAACAGGCTGCATGCTATAGAAAAGAAGCTGTGAGAGGACTTTGTAGTCCAATCATCCTGCAATGGCAGCGTATATGTAAGGGTAAGACAGAGACAGACAAAAAGTGAGAGTACTGTACAGACAGTATGTATATTTATGTGTGTTTAAGTTAGTCTATAGCCCCCTTTTTTAATTGTGTGCAAGTGCAAAGACAAACCCAAAGTCTTGTGCACTGTGGGTGAAGTTGAATAAAGATCTGGAGGTTGTGGCGATTAATAAATAGACTCAGCCAGTCACATCACTGGTTGTTCTAAAACAGCTGTGCCAATCCAAGTGACGCATGAACAGAATAACTGCTTCTCCAGAAGGCCAGATTTTTTAACAGTTATTTAGTACAATGATGATAGAAGCGAAAACATGTTTGGTGAAGCAGTTTATATGATCGCATCAATCTAACACAACTTCATAAGTCATATTTCTACAGTTTTTCACATTGTAAATGGTTACATCATCAACTTAAAATGCAGTGTTTGCTTTGTAATGCATTTGAAGAATGAAAGACAAATGGCTGATTTTCTTTTAATAACTTGGAAAGGCAGTGACACACAGGATTAATGAGCTCCAGTAATCCGATGTCTGTTGCATAAACAGGTAGAATACCGAGTTGTAGCTGACCAGTTTGATGTTTGTAGTGGTGTGTGCTTTTTCTGGAGCAGCCTGGTATCATTTTCATTTATTTGTTCAAAGAGCATTATTGCCTTATGTCTGCACATTTTCTCCAAGTATTTACTGTACTACTTTTAATAAAATCATCAAAGTGGCAGCTGAGTCAAACAGAGAGCCAAAAACAGACGTGGTTCTGAGACGTCTACCCTCAGTGCAAGGTCTAAGACACATTTCAACCAAAATACTAACACATTACTTTGCGCTGCCTCATTTGAATGAATATCCCATCTGTTTGCGCCTCTCCTCCCACCTGTGCACCAATATACCAAATAGATGGGCAAAGCCAATTTCAAGGTCAGACAAATATCAATTGGTTGGAGTGTCGCCTGCGCCGCCACAAGAACAAAACTCTAAGTGTGTGAGTGAGTGAGTGAATCACCAGCTCAGGAAACAAGCTATAGGAAACCTGCATTTCTAGGAGTGAGACAGCAGTAATATGAGGTAAAAGTGGAGGGTGAACCTGCCATTTGTCAAACCAATTATTACACACACACACACACACACAATTGCACACTTGCACATACACAAATGTGGCTTGTGGTTAGATCAAGGAAAACCTATTTTTGGTAGAAAATTAAAAGCTTTTCGGCCCCTCCTGACAATTAAACACCTCTGCTTCAGACTGCTGGAACCTTGATGAACCTGAACACTGACACAACGACTAAAGGTGGTGATTGAAACCAGACGACAAGGGCTGTGAAGCCTGGTGCAATGTAAGTCCCCTTAGAGCAGCCAACTGAACTTAAGATCTGCTAGACTCATCAAAAAGAAAGGTAGTATAAATGACATCATCTACAGAAAACCCAATTTATGAGGTTAAAAAGTAAAAGGGACTTATCCAACACATACAAAAATATCCTTTCTATGATCAACTAAACCTGGAGACTGTCATCCCACATTTCATCTCCATCAGCATGATTAGAGACTACACCCTAGCCTGAGGCATGGGGAAGCCGTTCTCACATCTCGTAAGGGTGGGGACACCACTGGCGCAGCTGGATACTCACTGAATCTGTGTATCACCAAAGCTGGAAATTTAAAATCGAAGGAAAAAGACCACAGCACTCACACAGTGAGTGAATCAAAAGCTTGCTTGAAGATTGCAAGATTATGTCTGTGGATTTAGTTACCAAATGCCAATGTTAACCACCGTGGCTTATGGTATTACATTTTGAGTGTGTGTGTGTGAGTGTGTGTGTGCACATGTGCATGATGTTTAGGCAGCTGGAAGCCCTGGCACAGGACTCATGTAATCACAGCTGGAAATACTGCAATCAACACATTTGCAGCTTCACAAGGTGACATACACAGACAGACAAACACACGAGCCCATACATTATCTGATCAGTCAGGGCAGACGGGTGCGGCATCTAAGATAAGCAAAAGATAAGCGAAACATTTGAACAATCTCCCAGTCTTCTCTGAAAGACCATGACGCATGATAAACACATTCAAACATCCAAATTGCAGACTCAAAACAACCAGATCAAATGTGGAGTTCTCCAGAATTTCCAGTCGAGGTTGTGAAAGTCTTTGCTCTGATCAACAGCACTTCTATCTCTTACCTTGACCCATAAAGGCTCCGTGCAGGGCATCCTTGGCAGTACCGAAGCCCAGTTCTCTGCACACCACGGTGGCTGCAGTTCTTTCCCACATGTGGTCTACGATGGTCCCCCATTTTCCGTCTCGGAGCACCTCCACACGACCCTCACCCAGCCTGGGGCCAGCCTTCAGACGCACAGGCTGTACAGGGCAGCAAAGGGAATATAACTCAGCTTACACTTACATGCACACACTGTATAACTGTGCCTAACTGTGTTAATCTTACCACAACTGGATAAGGAGCCTGGGGTCTTCCTGAGGAGATTCGAGCAAACTGTGGTCCTGGTACACATTTGACTACTGCATGTCTCCCATTCTTACATGGGGTGGGACTACGGGGGATTGACAGCTGAGCAAGGCACTCAGACAGGGTATTCTCATTGCCCAGACAGTGAACTTTTTCTACCCAGAATCCCTTCTTCTTTGACATGACACTCAATCTAGAAAGAAGAGAACGTTTTTGTTAGTATATTCTTAAAGCCCCTAAAAAGTTGGTTTTAAATCTTTAGTATTTCTCAGTAACATTAAATATGTCAACTGAATTGATCAACAATCAAGAAAAACCTCCTTAGTTACTCTATATTATATTGAGTTCAACACTCAAAAACTCAACTAATCTGTTACTTTAAGACTGCGTGGGTTTGGTTTGATCAGATTTGACTAACCATGCTGGAAACATAAGCAAACAACCCCACGTTTGATCACATTTTGCTAAACTCTGATGGGTGCATGGAAATATGTGATATATGCAGATAGTTGACTTTTAATACCTTGTTGAAGGATCTGCAACCTTGGTATCCCATATTTTCCTGTGAAAGAAGCGAAGAGCAGAGATGGATGTTAGTTTTATCAGATCCGTATATCTGTTGAGGTTACCAACACACACATATCACCCAGTGGGGTGACCTGGGTCACTGGTTTGTCATGCAAAGAGGTAGTGACTGTAGGATATACTGTAGCATCTGCTGTTTGTTTTATATGTGACCTGGCCACACAGGAGGGATTTCTGCCACAGCGAGTAGCGGCAGAAACACATGAAAAGAAAAGTAGTCTAACAGGGGTACTTGGTGATGACTTAAAATAGTTACAGCTCAGACGCTGACTTTATCGAAAAAAATGGATCATACAGCTCCAAATAGAACTTCTGTATATAAAACCAGAATGACTTGCATGCATGCGGCTTTGTGGTGAGCGTAAAAGTTAGGTATACTGATGGCAATGACTGGTATAGTTTCAAGAAAATGCACTGTTCTTGTTCTCTTTCAGCAACTTCACTTTCCTTCTCTCTTTTTTGCTTTGTAAGTCCAGTAGCATATATTTCCATCTGGAATGTGGGCTGCTTGCTATTTACCATGTTTATGTTTAGAGTGGCCAGTGTATCATATGTTCCTGAGCTATAAGGCAACAGTACTTCCTGTCACCAACAGGAATGTGCTGCTGGGTAATTTTTATCCAAATCACCCACCTTCCTGCATTAATTCTGATGTACTTGCCCTTTAAACTAACATAGTTTAACATACCCTTTGGATATAAGACTTTAGCATTGCTTGTTGCAATGTAACAGAGCTTTGTACATAACTACAGGATGTAAGCACTATAAAAGGCTAAAAAAAACAAACAACATATTTTGAACTTTATTTTTAACCTCAAAGCCACATGCCATCCCAAAAAATCATGACATTCAACATCAATGATGTACAACATTTCTGGGAAAACAGGGTTTGACCAAGCACGATATACAAACAAAAACTCTGGCACCGCGCCGCGGTGCACGTCCGAGAAATGCCAGAATAAAAAAAAGATTTATGCATCAAGTAGGCTGGCTGACTCGGGAGAGCGGTGGAGAGGAAAGCCTTCTGTTCTCTTGGCAGACACGCAAAGCAGACATGCCACACAGACCATGCCAGGACATCCTCAAACCACTGCAAAGTGCATCCACCATCACCGACATTCACATCAATTACACCAAAACACTCAGAGATACACACGCTACAGCCTGACTGATGTTTGAAAGGTCCCTCAGCACAGCTGTTCTTTATACAACAAGTGCTGCTGGAATTTTGACCTCTTCAGTCTTTTACCCTTCTCCATGTACACTGGAAGTAGGTGAAGTTGCCTACTACAGAGCTCATTGTTAGCCAATGTTGGTATATAACAGATATTCTGGTGGTGCTATATAAGCTTGTTGAAAAAGTTCTTTACAATATTCAATGTCCATTCACACCCTGATGCAAGGTGAACTGACCATCAGAAGCTATTTGGGGTTCAGTGTCTTTCACTGTTGTCCAGAATATGTTTATTGAGCTCTAAAATGTACAGCTGGCATTCCTCAAAATGAAATGGTGAGGTGTAGTTTCCATTAAAATACCTTTGACACCACCTTGTGCATTGCACATCAGCATGGCATTACAGGCTTAAATGTTTCTTTGCAACATTAAAAATACTCTTATGCTGACTTCTTTAAAGAAACAAACATGTCTAAGGATAAGTACAGGCAGGTCAATATTTGAATTTCTGTCATGAACTCTAGACATTCCTCTTAAGGTAAAGTTTAAAAAAAAAAAAAAAACTCTTTGCAAAACAAACTGAGGATGTTGGAATCAATAGAAGCATTGTCATCAACATGATGTTATGTAGATGGCTGTGTGAAGTCATGGACTGCTGAGAGAACACTTTCCAAAATCACATAACAACTTGTTTCCTGATTCTGTAAGTCAATAAGCCAGAAGAGACCTCTCATCAAAAATATTTTAAAAGTATTTGGTAAGGAAAACAAGCATACTTTCATTTCAGCATGCAATTGAAACTCCTATTTTTAACTGAAACACTTCAAATGGACTTCAGGTTGTTTCTCAGGCCCATTTGAAGCACAAATGCAGTTCTGAAGAGCTCAATGAAGTTCTTAAAAGCTAAAACAGACTTCTTGCTACCTTTCAAGTTATATCAAACATTTGACTTGAGGCAGAAAAAACCCATAATTTCACGTGCATGGCTCTAAATAAAGCCGTTTGTGATGTCACGAGACCTGCTGTAAATGGCGACTGACATATTGTATGGAATCTACCACTTATTCTTTACAGTGTCTTGAAGTACACTTGTAAAATATCTTAAATGTGTCTACCATGTGGCTCTGCATGTCATCGGGGATAGACAGTGAGGAGCATACACATACACACACATTTTCTCATGAGGCAAACATGTCTGTGACTTGTTTGTGACCTCACCACAGACCAATCAGCTAACCATTTTCCCTCTTCAGAAACCAACAGGACTACTATACAGACTATAAATGATCCCTTCAGGTCTTTCATTTGACTGAACTACAGCACTGTCTGTTAATGCTGAACTTCATTCAAGGAAAATAATATGCATACATGTCACTTTTTGAATATATATCATCAAATAATTAACAATTAGGTCTTTCTCTCAGTTATGAAAGCTTTAATTAATTCTATATAAAGGCATGTGACTGTAATAGGTAGTATGGCCTGTATGTGAGTACTTCTCCGCAAGCTATGTGCTGAACAGACAGCTTCAGAATTAGTTTGTTTTCCACCTCCATAGCATTCATCAGCTTTGCTTAACCCAACAGTGTATCCAGCACTTGTTGTGGAGCCAAGAGAACAGAGGCTAATGATAGGGAGTCCCACCCGCCTGTTAAAAGACAAGCCTCACACCACCGTTTAGGTTTCATCACACTCACACTGCTCCAATGTGTCTTTTGTTCATTTAAAAATGCTCAAGATTTATCTTTAAAAAATCAGTAATACAAAAGTCAGGGTCCCTATCAGATTTAAATAATACCATGCGCATTGCGATGTAAACTTTTTCTATTTGTACTACCAAATGCATATTCTGAGCTATTCTTGCCACAAGCAGGCCTTGTTTGAACAAAAATGGTATCTTCAGCAGAAAACACAACACAATTTGGATACTTGGGAACATTTTAACAGGGTTTAAACTTTATGCTCCTTTAAAAATGTTGAACCTTTTTTAACCTATGCTAGGGGTACCAAGGATGCTATAATATATTACCATTACCACCTGGTTCACGAAATGCTTATTCTGCTCATTAGGTGGCATTAGAGTGCTTGAAACAATTTTTTCTTATCTTAAGTTACCATAATGGTACACCACACGCTCAGCTGAAGAAAAATGAAAAAACAAAAAAAGGCCAAAATGAAACATTATTTCTCAAAGCCAACATTAAATTTTTTAAAGAGATTTAATTACCCTACTTTGAGTATCTATGAAAAAGATCTTGCATGTCAAATAGTTCCATGCCAACCAGAGCGAGCTGAAAAAATCACCACGCTTCAACTCAGTTTTTAAAATCCGGCTTCCACAGTCTGTTCCGGGCCACAGAAATAGCCACCGGTAAGCATACAGAAATTAAAAGATGGTGAAATAAATTAGAGAGAAGGTCATTGAGGAAGATCACACAGACATCAGACAGGAAAACCAGACTTGGTCACTCAAAATGTCACCCAAAAGCCTAAAAATGATACCCTTATCGTAAGAAAATTCTGGCTAAAACATAATTAAACATAAAATACCAGTTAAGTCCCCAAATCACTATGGTGACAGAGGAAGACAGACAGCTGCTGACACAGCGGGCCGCGCTGCAAACTGCAGCTGTAATTGGACATATTTCACACGAGCAAGCAAAAATCTGGCTCGTCTGCCTGCAGCTCTTGTTCGTTCTCTCCATCTCCTCTTTCTCCTGTTACTCTCTTCCTGCTCCTTTGCCATCTCCGTCTTACTCTCTCTCACACACACAGCTATAATTGGGGGTGTTTTTTTCACTCTCAGCAGAAACCCCGGAGAGCCTCGGTCCTGACCAACCTGTAATTACAGCATCTTCAGAGTCTCATCCAAGAGACACAGGGAGCCGAGAGACATGGCATGATCTGGGATTTCTAAGAATGGACTGAGAGACTTGGAGCAAGGTGGAGAAACAGGGGGGAGTGTCACTGGCTAAATATGGACAAACCATGCAATACAATCCTAAGCTTTTCTGGCGTCCATTAAAGTGGAAGATGTTACATGGAAACTGAACATCATATTGTCACAAACCCGATTTTTATTTTGTTTTGTAATTATAATGACAGTGGCAATTTCAGTCAGAGTGAAATCCTTACAATTACGCCTAAGTCAAGGCCTGAAACAGCATTACCTTTATTTCAAGTATTCCTCTGTTTATAACTGCCAGTTATATATAAACATCCCAATACAATAACAAATATAGGGTTTCATCCTGATTTTAGAAACCAAATACGGTAAAAGAACTCGAGTATAACACTGGCAGCTAAGGCACTGAGGCATGTGTACACCTAGAACCACTTTGAAGTCAGAAACATATGTGAGGGAGAGGGAACAAATATGAATTTGTGGAGATAGAAAACAGGTACAGATTTGGAAACAAACACATCATCGTGGTTCGGACCAGTATAGCTTCTGAGGCTACAGCAAAACACCAGGTCATACCCCGGACAGGCAGACCAAGATGTATCATGTCACGACCAGAGCCTTATAATTTACACACACAATAAAAAAAAAATCAACATATTTATCCAACCTTCATTTAGAAGCGGATATGTTGGATAAACACACTTATACATATGCTATTGTTCAAGTTTCTTTTCCTTGACCTTAGAGGGAGACTTAAAAACAAAATCCTGAAACAGCCAGTGAGCAGATTCCCTGCAGGTTTCACTCCAAGCCCTTCAAGCTACAGCAGCCCTGTCCTCCTCTGTCATATCTCTCTTCTTGGTGAGCAGCCAAGTCTCTTATGTTGCAGTCACGCAAATCTACCCATCTAATTCCTCACTCAACTATTACTTGTAATTCTCATCTCCCATTCTTTGCATCAAGCGTCGAATCTGCGGTGCGATAGAAAATGGAAGAGAGGCATGAAAAGCATCAGACCTGCAATGCGGGGAAGTTGTGCTCTAATAAATGATCCTGTACAGATGGTGTACAAAGTCAGGCCGGGGCTGTACAACGACACCTCATTCTGAGGACCTTTTATTACTGAAGATATGATGCCTGATGATGCCCTCCTCCAACAATAGAATCCAGTTATAGCGTCACTGTGTTCCCAATAACACAGAGTTCAGGGGAGATAGCTAAATTCAAGGGCGATGCAGAAAATCTTTCAGCGAGTGAGCCAGTGCACCAATAGGGGCAGTTTGTAAAGTCAATAAAAAGTTAGAAAAGTCTATAAAACAAATAAGTTACCCCCTCAACAGTTACAGCCTTTCAGAAGCAAGAGGAATCTAGCACCTACAGTACAGAGCAGATGTTGCGGTCTGTCGCCAGTTGAGTCAGAATAACGCCAGCCAAGAGAGGGAAGGAATAGCTAAAATGTGAATCACCTAGAGCCGGCAGCTCTCCAGAAGCAAGATCCAACTGGGTCCACCTTCTACTGAGGACAGCGAATGGTCAGACACTATTCATTCTTATAATAGCAATGGAGTAATTCTCTGCTAATGTGTGGTCCCACAGCGGTTTAAGAGCAGAACCTTCCCAAAAACCACTGTCAATGTTTTTTCTTTCAGTGGGAGGAGAGGGAGTGTAAATCTGTGTCAAAGGGGCAGAACACCTAAATATAATGCATTTAAGCATTGGTCTCATTGGGACAGTGCTTGCATGAGAGTATGTACGTGTACATGCTTGGACATGGTATTCGAACCTCAACACTTTTAAAAAGGAACAGCTTGACATTTTGGAAAATATGCTTATTCGCTTTCTTGTCAGCATTTAAATGAGAAGATTGATACTCTTATGTCTGTCAGTTGATGTGTAGCTTTAAGCAGCAGCTGGTTAGCTTAGCATAAAGATTGGAAATAGGGGGAAATGGCTATCCTGGCTCTGTCCAAAGGTAACAAAATCCACCAACCAAAACCCCTTGTAAAATGGCAAATGTAATTCTTTTGTTTGATTTGGACAGAGCAATGCTAACCCTTGTTTCCAGTCTTTATGCTAAGCTAAGCTAACCGCCGCTGGCTCGAGCTATACATTTTTACCATACAGATATCAGGGGGCCAAAAGTACCAAAACCAAGGATTGAATGCTGTTTTACTTATCCTTTAATAAGTTATTGAGTTATTGAGTGTTTGATTTAGTCATATTTTTCCTAATTTGTGTGGGTGTTTTATTTAGGAAAGTTCTGTTTCGGTAACTCTGTCTCAAGACAAAATGAAACACTGATGAATTTGTGAAGTTTGGTTTCTTTTGTTAAATCCTTATTGAACACAATTCTGTTTCCTGAAGTCATATATTGAAAGCTGTGTTGTTCGGTTATTGGTACCAAGACAAAGTATTGTATTGGCAACTGTATCAGAAAAACTTCAAATGATGCCAAGTGCTAGTATACACACACACACACACACACACACACAGTTAAAGTGGGATGTAATAGTGAAGAAGAGATGCATGGCTGACTCAAGCCTGCAGATGCTGCACTGCCAATAAGACGAGTCGCTTCACAAAGACCCTCATCCCCCAATAGCTACCCCTGTCTCACACATGGTATCAATGGGAGAGTTAAAGCACAATCAGCAGTGAAATTACACCTCGGCATGAGAATCTAAAAGTTAAAGTGGGGCTGTTTGTCTGAGAGCTGCAAGCTGAAGATAGCATCAGAGAGAGACAGGGAGAGAGAGAGTGAGAGAGAGGTAATGAGGTGAGCAGAGGTGATTTGCCTAGCGAGGGGTGTAGAGAAAGGGCAGAAGAGAGGGGACAGGGATCCCTTTATCATCATCGTGAGGCTGAGGGAGGGAGGGGGAAAAAAGGGGGACATGGGGGGAGAAGTAGCTGGGGGAGAAAGATAAGCCCAAAAAAAAAGGCCTTTACTCAAAGCGGCTTTAAACGGGATGCCACTGTTGTTTTTTTATTCTTCAGGATGTGTTTTTATTTGCTTAACAATGGGATGAATGGCATAGCATGTTGGCCTTCTGAACTACCGTCAGCAGCCCACTGTTAGGTAATCCAATAATGTGAGTTCATAAAGGTGGATTGGGATTCTCTCAGTGCAGCTAGGAGAAAAAAAAATCATACTCACTTGTATGTTTTGACATTGTGCTTAGTAGCCTCTGGAAAGCCGAGCATCCCACACACAACCCGGCTGCTGTTGAGACTCCAACCCAGGTCACAAACCTGCCTCCATCTACCAGCGTGCTTCACTTCCACCACACCCTCTGTGATCAGGCTCTTCCTCTTGGTAGCCATGAGGATGGGACGAAGACGGACCTCTTCGATTTGCACCTTAGTCCGCCCCTTGAGGTTGAAGATATATATCACATCTACAGTAGGATGTATTTTGAAGGAAAACAGAGAAATGTATCAGAAGTGAACTAACGTACCTGGTAGTGGTGTCTTTGGAACCTTGGGATCTCTTGTGGGTGTCCGTTTCCATAATACCCGTACCCCTGATGCCCGCGGGAGGCCACGAGACCCTGCCACTGAGGTGCGGGGCTGCCATTGGGTCTGGCGGCGGTGGTGTAGCCTCTGCTGGCTGTCAGATCCAGCCTGCGCTCAGAAGTGCACACCACCCCCAAGTCTTCAGAGTGTTTACAGTCATTCACCCCCCAACCGTTGTGTTTGCAGTCCTTCAAGGACTTCTCTGAGCCGTCACAACGTACATTATCCATCCATATTGGACCTTGTGAAAGGATAAACAATCAATTACTTCATTCATTGTGATTTTCATTGATTGCTCAATGGACAGACTGGGCAATGCATCTACACAAGGGCCTGAATCAGTCCCTAAACACCTTACACTTGACTTTTACTGGCACGCTGATTTAGGGTTGCACCTTAGCGGCGTGTTAAGCAGTAGATACACAGTATTTTACAAGGCAGCGTGCTGTAGATCCTGCTCCTTGAATCCACTCAACCTTCTCTTTAATTTGGATTTAAAAGCAGCAGTAAAGAATGTACATAAACCACAGCAAGTGTTGCACAACTCTGGCAAGCGAATGCTGTCATTATTCTGAAACAAATGCCCTTTTTGGCCCATATATTTCCTCCTGTAGCCTGCCAGGAGACCTTAACGAGATGTAGACTCCAATCCCACAACAAGTTATCTTTGTCACTTTTTTTATGATGTTAGTTATTTTGGATGTCTTAATTGGTGGACCTTATATGAAGCCACACACAAGATCACTATAGTATGGATGTTTTAGTAAAGACAGGTTGGGATAAACTGGTCCAAAATGGCTGCCTGCCATTAAATCTGAGACATCTATAATCTAATAAATGTAAGAGAATAATAGGAAAACCTCAGGTGAAATTCATATAATTAATAATAGCTTTGTTCCAGTCAAAGCAACATTACGTAAGAATTGGTAACTTGGCGCCCCAATTTCAGAGTGCAGTACATAGTACAAGAACAGGCGTTCTGGGTGCTGAGAAGGAATTACAGAGGTAATATTCTCCCTATTACAAGTCAGTACATCATCAACATGATTTTGAAGATGTTATTTTGAGGTAAAGTAATTGCATAATGTTGCTTTAAGTGCATCAGTAAGCCACCAGGGAGCCAGCATGCACACTGGCAGGGCTCTGAAACAGTTAGGCCTAAAGCTAAATGGACTGCAGCCCTTATTGATATGAATTACGTTGTGGTTTTCCTGCTACGGCATATGAAAAATGTGTAGGCCTATCACACCCAGTCAGTTTGTCTGTCTTAGTCTGCAAACATATAAGATAAGATAAGATATTTGACCTTTCTTCAGTAACATTCAGACTACTAAAAGTGGCTCCAGTGTAATTAGGTACAGGAAGCGCTCTCACCCTCTCCCTCTCCATACTTGGCGCTGTGTGCCCACGTTATACCACCCTGGAAGCCCAGCTCTCGGCACACCACGTTGGCCATTTTGATGTCCACTTCATCATCGCAGACGGTCCCCCAGGTGTTGTTGTGCAGCACCTCCACGCGCCCTTCGTTCGGTCCTCGCGCATAGTTGCCCGCCAAACGCACCTTGGCGGCGGGTGCGCGAGCCGCCCTGCGCTGAGAGGTCGCGCTCCTCCGTGGTTCGGCGCGAGCGGGACAGGAGGAGGAGAGACAGCAGGAGGAGGAGGAGGAGGAGGAAGCTCAAGCGGAGGGTGCGGGTCATCGTGACTGAGAGGAGGGGGGGTCTGCAGGTAAACGTTGAAACACTCATGAATCAAGTTGGTTCCACTTTTGTTGAATTGTATGGCTTTGCAGGTTGTTTCATTCATTTTTTGTTAAATTGACCAGTGGAGTTATTTAACTTTGACACTGTCAATTAAGCAGCCAGTTTAGAGCTAGAGGCTAATTCCTCTGTAATGAGAAATATGTATCATCACTTTTAGATTCGTGCTCAGACTTAAACTGCAGTGCATTAAAAATGAGTAGGTGTTAAACAGACAGCCACCGGGGTGTTTGGTTATTAAACGGAACAACGGTGACATCCTCTGGACAAAATAGTTCAGGTCATGGCAGAGTACAGACACCAGGAAGGAATCCATTATCAATAAATGAATGGCGTACTGAGACAGTTACCATTGCAGCGGGAGCTTATCTGTCCACAACCAGAGGGTTAAAACTTGATTTATAGTCCCATATTTGATGTGAGTCACTGCTGCAACATCAATCTGGCATTGATGCATTGGAAGCCAAAACGCATAAAATGAATGCTTCTCACTCATGGCAAAACATAGGCATATAATTAAAGATACACCAACGCACTTCTGTAATGCAATTCACGTGAATTAACATTCCTCAAGGCTAACTAACCAGACAGGAACACAAGGCAGGTTTTAACTGGAGGTTAACAAGTGACAAACAAGAACGCAGTAGTGGAGACAGACGCTGAAACACTAAATCACTGCAGGCCACAGGACAACACTTTGTTTACGTTTGTTTACTGTGATGATAAAATTACAAAGGGAACAAACCAGCAACAAGCAAATAGAGACTGGCTTCAGTAAATCACAGTGAGAAAAATGTAGCCTGTGTTTCATGAAGCCTTATTCTGTGTATGTGTTGTTAGAGCTTCACTCAATGTAAGAACAAACTTTAAAACATCTAGTATTTCATCTAAATGGCTGACCTAAAGCAGCTTTACAGCTAACAGTTGTTTTTTTTTTTATATTAATCTAGTTAAATAAAACGAAAGAATCCAGAGTGGAGAAAAGCATCTGAACCCTTAATACACCTGTTACACATGCACTCAGATGCTGTATAAATAAAAAAATAAAAAAAAAATAACTGTAAAACCAAGTGAAAATGAGTGAAAATAAGAATATTATTTTCCAAGAAAAATGTAAGAGTAGAAGGGAAGGTGAAAGTTCACTCACCTGGCAGGCAGCAGATGTTTACAGTGGTGGACGTCACTGGTTAGGGGAGAGTGCCTGAGTGAAGGAGTGTGTCAACTAAATGCTCTCCTTAGTCAATCCTCCCTTCTTCCCTCCTTCTCCCTATATCCCTCCCTGCCTCCCTCCCTCCCTCCCTCCCTCCTCCTGTGCTCTCTTTCCCTTTAGGTATCTTTCTTTCATACATAAGTGTTGACTTAATTCAAATGCTAAAATCTGAAGCCTTGTTTATTAGATTGCAAACTAAATGCAGGTATAATGCCGTTGCTATAAAATCTAAAAAATACCCAAGTATAGGGTTCCCTCCACTGATGAAAGATTTGTCATTTTAACTTATTCTGTGTTTCTTTATTTGCTGACATTTGTATAAATGTGGATGAATACCTTTAAGCGCTGCTGAACGAGCTCCGAGATGAAACACAGGGGCCCTCACAGATAAATGAATCTGTTTGAGAAATGAGTCTTCAGAAAGCACAGGACTCATCAGTTTCAGCCGAAATGGACGTCATTCATTGTGAAACCCATTTTCATTATTATATTCTGATTGGGCCTCTTTGCACCTTTCTTCTGTGATAGGCTAAGGATGCTTTTCACAACTCAGAGCGTTGCACAACCTCCGGGTGAACGTGTGTAGATGTAACCAACAGGAAGGACTCTGCTTCCAGAATAGTTTCAAGTTCCAAGTGTCTTAAAGAAGCTCTCTATACCACAGGGTAGATATTTCCTTGTTGAGATGGCCGCAAACCACCAACTCTAAAATAGGCCCAGCCTCACCGTAGCCATGGTGAACGTGACTGATGAGAATATGCCGTACCACCCTGCCCAGGAGTATGTTGTAACCTGTCATCATGGTATAGGAAGTTTGAAGATTTAACAAATCAGTGTGGATCCAGATTAAAAAACCAGCACAAAGTCCTGTTCATGGCCTCCTATCCGGGGTCACTCCAGTGCTCAGTCCTGATGCGACGTAGGTTTCCTCCAGCTGTCTGCTGAGGCCTTTCTACATGTTTAAAACTTGTTTATTTATTTTTTGAGGCATTTCGGGAGGATTTTGGTACAAATTTAGCAACATGGACATTTTTGGGCTCGGGGTGTTGTGTTGATAAACTGTATTTGAGTTTTCAAGTAAACCTCAGTGGGCACCTTTTTGAGGCAGCGAGGTTTATTCATAGGCACGAAAAATTACAATCATGACAGGGGAGGTAGGAACCGAAACATCGACCACAACCGTAAAAACACTTACTCGTATGCAGAGTGAAAAAAATCCTATGTTACATGCGTGTGTATTTGTGTGCACACGTGTAAACTTTGAAGCTGTAATTGAGATGTTTGTGTGAGCCAGTGATGGTGCGACTGGGTGGCAGGATGGTGGTCCCTCCCTGACTGCTAAACCCGAACAGGAAGAGCAGACCCCCTATTAGCGGGGCCAAATCAGAGGGATCACCAAGGCCGACAGAGAGAGGAATAAGAGATGTAAAAAGCAAAAAAAAAATAAAATAAAAATATAACCACAATTGCTGTGTGTGACTTCCATTATAACTTGTGATGCGCTGTTGCATATCAGACTAATTAAACTAGACTAGACAGGTGTCCCTGCCCGTGTGCCAATACTTAACAGCTCAGTGGGTGTGTGTGCTAGTGAGAGTGCGTTACAAGGTCTCAGAGGGCTCACAAGGCTAAGAGTATCTGAGCGAAGCAGCTCTCTGTGGCAGAGCTCCCTCTCTCTCTCCACCTCTCTAATTACGCCGACCGAGCCGGCTCTGCCCTTACCCACAATCTGTGGAGGCATGAAATAAATACATGCTCTCCAACAATAAACAAGTGCCTTTTCAAACGACAGCACCTCCTCTCACTCACCCCCACTGCTGTCTCTCCAGGCTTTCATAGCGCATTTACTTTCAAACTGGCTATAGGAGCATGTAGGCACCTACTGTACAGAGGATGTGCTGTACAAGTTAAAGGGCTGAGAGTGGAGCGAGCTGTACATAGCAGGTGACATCATTAGATCTAGCGTCAAAGGCCATCGTTGCCTTGAGCACAAGGTGGGCAAAAGTTTGATTATGAGGTCAAGAATATTTAAAATAGGGTAAAAATTAAAGAGTCTTAGCAGTGTATGTCTTAACACACCCACTTATATCTGAAATATAATCATTGAAAATCCTTAATATTCATAGAGCCTAAAGTCATCAACTTCACTCCATCAATTGAATAATGAACTTTAACATAGTGGGAATATAACATTCAAAATCAAAGCAGCAGAGGTCAAGATATCCTGATTCTAATCCCTAATATGAGTCAGGTGTTCTGTTACTGGCTTATGGTTTAAACTTTGGAAGGCCTTATACAACAGTGTTCACACTCGTTTTGATGAGCGAATTGAATTTTATGTGTAAATCAGTGGCCCCTTTCATTTTGCAGCATGATATACTCTCACACTTTTATGGAGTACACATGCATGTGCAGGTGGCATCAGGCTTCAGTTCCTCTCTATTCAAAATGTCATCTGTGGCATAATGGTTGCTTTTCCCACACGTTCTCAGTACCGTTAGTCATGTCTCCATCTCCCACTGGTCTGGGTGGTTACAGAGGCCCTAATGCATCTTTCATGCTGGCCACACAAGTGTCTTCTACTAGTGATGATAGGGTTACCATATTCCCCCCACACCAGTCTGGTCTGCTTTGATTTACTTGTTCAGGGTTTTGAGCATCAGGATTTACTCAGAGCAACGTCTTGGTTCCTGGAGATCAAAAAAGATGATTGTATATGCGTTGCATAGGCTGGTTAAGTTGGTGATATATTTCAATGCAAACCTTTCATGTACAACCCTGCCACCTTGTGGCCGAAAGGAATATCACACCCTAGTGCAGGAAAATTACAACATACCTCAGATATTTGTTCCCCCATTACTCATGTAGAGAGACATGTGGTATATGTGGTTGAAATACATTTATTAAATATAAAAGACTCTTTTGCAGTGCAGTAACGATAATACAAAATATTTGGAAGATTAACAGGATTGCAGTGCTCTGGTTATCAATGTGTACATTATAATTAAAAATGCATGTTCCTGAAATAGTTTGAAACAAGGTAAAAAGACTAAAAACAGACCAAATGCATAAAATTGAACTCAGGGAAATATCAAATTTTGAAATATCTATCAGATGAAACGAAAACATACTATAGTATTAGTCTGCAAAATGAACTGTCGCTAACAGCACCAGTCAAATAAGGAACAAGCACTTTTTTTCTAAACGACAAGTGCAGTCTTGAGGTTTGGTGTCCAATTCCTTTTTCATAAGTCTTAACCATTATACAGAAACTAATAAGAAAAGTAGAAGTGCAGCATGTGACAGTGTTTGCACCAAAGGATTCTTAATGTTTTTCGCCTAAAGTCAGAAATAAACAGAAGAGAGGACATTTATTTAACCTACCATAAAGTAAAAAGACAAAAGAATTGAAAACCGTATTCAGCTCCTAAGGTATGTTGTAAAAAAGAAATGGGAAAAAAAACGTAGGTATAAATAGGAAAATAAATACTCTGACTATGCTGTGCATAGTTAACTAGTGAACGTAGTGTGGACTTAATCCAGGTGTTGTAGCTGTCATTGTTATCTAGTGGATGATACAGACACATGCCAATGGGTTTTAATGCACTGTCTAGTGTTGAAACTCAAAACAAAGCTGCTTTCAGTGCAGAGCCGTTAGATGAAGCATTCTTTGGTTCACGGAAATACTGAAATGGAGACACCCCTAAGGTCAGAAACACTGCTATTCAAGGTTCACAAGTTCTTTGTTGTGTTACACACGTAGCCATGAATGTGTGTGCGCACATGACTGAGAATGAATTTTTATAAGGCACTGTCCTGTAGTATGAACTAGTTTATAAATGAACTTCACCATGTCTGTCATAGAGATTAACAGACTACTTGTGCCGGAGGTGGCAGGTGTGTATGTCTGACACAGAAGTGACAATTAAGTCGCCACTTCTTTTGCATAGACATAAAGCACTGTCATGTTGACTATGCAAATGTACCTGGAAAGCATATTTCATATTCCAATGCGGAGATAAAAACTTATGAAGGCTATTGATTTGCATTGGGTATGCAGATCAGTGCCGCAACTAGTTCTCCTATAGTCTGCGAGAACAAGAAGTCTTTTCATGCAATCCAATACAACAAAACCAAAAACTATCTCAACCTCAAAATTGCCATAGAGAAAAGGTAGTATTTATTCTACTGAATTGCATGAGATCGACAGGTGTTTCTGTTACTTCTTCCAACCCTACAAGTATGATTATGAAGCACAATGAGCCTCCAAGATAACAGAACGGGCATGCAATGTGCAGATTCACTCGCAGCCAATAGGCACACCTAATCCGCATTAATACATACAATTCTGCAATGTCGCAAGTCTATTTACCCATGTAGGATCATCTTAACTAAGGCTACATAGCACAGTATAAAGGCACCTATCTGGGTCTCTGTAGCTTATTGGCTAAAAGAAAACCCTCATCTGCATAGGGGAGGTACTGAAATGTCAAGTACGTCTGTTGGTAAGTCTTTGGTCTGGTGGACAATATGCTGATACTGGCAGAGTGGGAATGGAGCCCCAGTATGATCCGCACACTGGTGTGAGCAATTAAAAAGTGGTCTGAGAAGCTGTTAGAAATCAGCTTCACAAACTGCATGTTAAAGTATTGGTCAAGTGACTTTAAAAATGGGGAGAAACACTTCTTTGTGATAGAATTTCTGAAGAAGAAAGGTCACCAGGATCGTCCACGAGGAACCTTCTGTGTCCTTTCATCACTGCTGTACATTACGCAGCCATTACTTCTTTTTTTTCCCCAATTGTGTACCAAAGCAGTTTCACTTCCTCGTTATGTTTTAGGCCAATGAGGTTAGGTTGTATCCCTTAAAGCGAGAATAGGTCACCATGTGCCATGAAGCACTGCAATTATGAGGGTTTTCACTCAAAACAAAGACTACACCAGCTGAATGTGTTGCTCACCTCTGGTTAATGTTGTACTACTGAGTAATATTGTTCAGTTTAGTCTTAATAGAAAAAGAAAAGAAAAAAAAAGGAAAAAAAGGAAAAAAAAACCTTCGTACTCCCAGTCTTTTGTGGCACATGTGTGACGATCCCGGCCTTAAAGCCTGAGTGTTGGCTAAGATCCATTGACTATTCTGGTCCATTCTGCTACAGTAAATATTTTTAGCCCTTAGAACCTGGTCCAGTAAGTGCCAGCTCCTTTGGCTCAGTCTGTGCGTCCCGGTTTCCTGCATACTACTGGGGCAGAGAGTAGGCTAAGTTCAAGGCTGCCAGGGCTTCCTGTCCTTGCCTTTCTGATCAGGAATGTGTTTGTAGCGACATTTGTCCCCAAAGTGGCAACCGGTGGTTCTCCAGAAGTAACACTCGTCTCCGTTTACTGGGCCACGTCGTCGCGGTCTGGGCAGAGAGGAAGATGACATAAAGGGAGACAAAAGACACAGGGAAGGCATATTAAGGACAGAAGCAATTAAAACTGCAGTCCTACTGTATGATTTCGATGATCTAGAGAGTTTCTAAAGTGAGGCTGAAGTGCTTCTTACCCAGCAGCTGCCCCTGCCTGCTGTGTGACAGGGAGACAGGTCTTAAGTGGAATAGGAAGGACCCTCTGAGTGCGGCGGTCAGGATAACGCACTACTAGACGTGTGTTCTCAATACAAAAACCCTGAGAGGGGAAGCATACATCCAACAGTTAGTCCATAAAAATGTGAAAACAGACCTTGTGTCTGTTTTTAAAGAACATTTTTGAGAGAGGGGAACAAGCAAGTACTCGCATTTAGTTTCTCCATGGCACGGGCGGCCATGTTTGCATTCTTGAAGTTGACAAAGGCACAGAATCTCTCATGCAGCACACGGATACTCTCTATCTCCCCATACCTACAACGCAAAGCAAACAACAAGTAACTGTCTTGGTTAAATATTAGACTTTCATGTTTCTGTTCCAAGAGGTACAAACACAAATGTCTTGCCAATTATTTTAATTAGGTATAGGAACATTTAAGTCATATATTAGGCTAGTGTCATACATTTTAAAAAGGTCCCATAGTTGTTTCTCAGTTAGCTCAGTCGTCACATTTCCCACCCACAGAGATGGACAAGGGCTTCTGAAGGAAAGAGAAAGAATGTGATTGAAAGCAATAATATCACAGTTGAGATCAATCATTTGTTGGAACTTCACCAAAGATGTCACAACCTATAAAGACAAATGTGTAAACCCCTGACAATATATAAAAAGCTTTCAGGTTTATGAAGTGAAGCCAATGCGGAAGTGTCTTAAACCTGTATTCTATGTAATGGCCAGGAGGGGGCAGCTCCATGGGCAGAAAAAAAGAAATCCGGTGGTATTGAGTCTTGTGGGGAAAGGACCCTACTTCTCAAGCTTCCCAATGAGTTTCTGGTCACAATCACTAGTTTCATGTCTTCTTCCATACAGTATGATGTTCATTTAGTAAATTATGGGCGTGGCTATCTTGTGATTGACAAGTCATTCTTATTGAGTCCGTCCACTGCAACGCACGAAACTCAGATCAAACTAGGCAGTGCAGGTAAAGCATAAATCAAGATTATGTTACTGCACTGCATGTTTAATGCTCCAAATGTTTTTAAGATACATTTTTTAGTATACAGCTTATCTGGAATACAAGCATGTGTGTGACCAGGCAAGCCACCATTTTCTCGTGCTATGGACAAGTTGAAACCAAGCGCAGCTCAACTCGCAGTACGTCACTGCTGCTGGTTACAAAACACCAACTTTGGCGATAGCCACAATGTCGAACTCAAGGCTTTAAAATAGTACTCCACACAGCAACTGGTGACGTCAAGATTTACACTTGGTGTAAACTAAAGTGAACAAAATCAATTTTAGCCTCAGGAGAGGCTACGTACCCCTCTGACCCCTCGCTTTGATTGAACAAACAAAATGGTAACCTACCCTGGTTGCATAACTGATGGATCTTGGCTCCCAGCTGCAAAACAAAAAGAGCTTGATCAATAGAACGTAAGAGGATAAAGGCTCATTTCATACAGCCTATTCTATACATTACTGCTTTCCAATCTTACAAAGAGAAAATGCAGGCCCTTTTTTTATATAAAATATGAAAATATGTACATGTGATCTTACCCCTGGCAGCATCAGAACAAGATGCAAGAACAGCCTGCACAGTTGAAAATCTCTCCAGCAGCATGACGCTTTGCCCTTCTTCAAAACCGAGATCCTGAGGAAAGAATAGAGAAAAAAGAATAATCAGTCCTGAAAATCAAGAGGAATTAAGTTTTAAGACAAGATGTCTAGCTTGATAAAGTGTTGTTTCTAAAATGGACTGTTCAGAGGAAACTGTGGTTATTTTCATTCACAGCTACCAAGCTTTACACTGTGTTTGTGAGTGCACTGTATTTACCATTAACTGCAGCACTCTGCAGTTAAAAAGGTCAATGACAGCCTCCTCACAGTCTTTGTCCAGTTTCAGCACCTGCTCCATAGCCTTCTCTGCCTCACTGTACCGCTACCACACACAAAGACCCACATAATGAGTTAGCAAAGACTAATCTTAACACAAAGGCTCTTCAGCAAATATTTCTTTAATTACATGCTGTATCCAATTACCACAGTATCCTGTACCCACCTTCATGCCCATGAGAGCACTGCCCTGGCGGAAGTGTCCTTTGGGCCAGTCTGGAGCCAGCTGAATGGAGCGTTCAGCATCTGCCAGGGCTTGAGGGTACTGCTCCAAGCAGTAATAGCAATAGGAACGATTCCCAAAGAACCTACAGGACGCAATTTAAAAAAGGAAAAAGGAATATGTTACACGTGTCTAAAATGTATGTAGTCCATTATAGTAAACTAGTAATGACCACAGATGATGTACCTGTTATCCTTTGGATCACATTTAATGGCTTCTGTAAACATACTGACTGCTTGTGCGTACTGCCCCTCTTGCACCAGCTTTATCCCTTTTTCTGCTAGAAAGAAAACATGCTTGTAAATAATCCTCTGGTGAGCCAGTAGCCTGAGGACTGAACTGACAGGGCTGCATGCTGATACGCTTGTACAAAGTTATGTGTAATCAATAATTTCCTCTAAGGTTTGGTTTCTTTTTCAATGAATAAACTAATGAAAAGGGTGATTATGTATTCGGATGTGCAGAAATCATTCCTCACCTGTCAGTGATGCGCTTTTCTTAGTCATGGTGTCAGTTCCATTTGTCTGTGCGAAAAACAAATCTGTTCATATTCACAGCTGTGAAAATGTACTTGATAATGAAGTTCAAAACATTCTCAACAGGAAATGCTGATTTACATAAAATATCAAAACCATAAATATGTACATGACAATGTCATTTTTGTAACTACAGAAATAAAAACAGCTTTTAGAAGTATCCCGCAGCTGGTTGAGTGTTTTAGTTTTATGCATCTACTGTTTGTCTATTTTCATTGACAAATGCCAAAATATGGTAGTCAGACATATGTATTTCAACAACTAAAGCAATGCATTAGCCTAATTCAAGACACAAATGACCACGGTAAGCTTCATCCTACAGCTGAGTTATAGTCAACACACACACATTTCAACAACTGTTGTAAAGGAATTCATGGTCCAGAGTCCAGGACTCCACATATCAGACTTTGGAACTGCTGCCACAAGAAAAATAGCAGTAATGACGAGAGCTCTTGCTACACGTACTCATCTCACATTATCTATGGGCATTCATTCACCTCTCTCCTGGCTTCATTCTCCTTGTTTTCTTTGGACTTGCGACTTGTTCCTTTGGGTTTGATATGGCTAGCAGCATTAGCAAAGAAGGCACTGCTCACATCCCACTCTGGCTCCTGCGGGACACATAAAGACACTGGTGTTCAATCATGTGTCATCCAGTTCTACAAGCATGCAGGTCTTTATTTTAAGTACTACACCGAGTGATTCATTGACTTAGTCTAGAGATGGTGATGATGATTAATGGTGATATTTTCTATTGAAGTTGTGGCTACAGTTTCACACATGCATTATACTCTAGTATAGTACCTCTTCCGTGGATCTCGCTGGGTTCTTCTGATGTCCTTTGATTCCTGAAGGAGCCATGACTGGAGTGGTGGTGCGATTGTGTGAAGCAGCTGCATCCTCCTCCTCCTCCTCCTCCTCTTTTTGCACTCTCGGTTTCTCCTCTTCAGCATCAACTTCTGCTTCTGACTCGCTGTCGTCCAGGTCAGACTCTGCACCTCCATCCTCGTCTTCATCATCCTAATGTGCAGGACCACACAGTTATTCACAGTAAAAGGCAAATGTAGAGTGCATTCCTAGAGGGAATAATGTGATCATTACCCGTTCAGCACTCTCATTTTGCTTAACCTGCTCCTGCTTCTTACGTTTTCGACGGCGCTGAAACAGATTCAGTACTTGGCACATCAGAAAATGCATGACTTTACCCATCATTCATAGTCTAACAGACTATATTATATTATATTTATTTGAACTGCATCAAGAAGGATCTTTAAGGGTTTAAGGGTTGGCGTGCTCACCTTTCTCTTGGCTTTACGTCGCTCTGCCCTCCGTCTGACCTTCTCCTCCTCACTCAAATCCTCTTCTCCATTTAATGCATCCTAAACACACACACACAGAGTTGAACATTACCCATTGTATCTTCACCTCTTTGCCATCCCGACAATGCCCTGTCAGCCTGACACCATTTGTTTACCTGTGACAAAGTGGCATCATTGCTTGGGTCAGAGTTTGCGGCACCACAGTCCATCTGCTCCTCCTGCTGCTGGACAGCGGGGCCTGTTGGGAAACACACAGCACATCAGCTCTAGGTCTTGTTAACACACTGTTCTGCTGTCTTCATTCTTGTCATTGTTTGGGAACCAGATATGTTGTCAGTTGAAACAGCTCTAAATGAGAACATGTTCCCTTTCTCTTGCAATTTCATTAAAAAAAAAACCCATATAGCAACATATGTGAAAACACATGTGACATCAGGCAATTTCTCCCACAACAATCCCAACAAAGCTTGTGAATTATTTATGCGCATTATGTTCTATCAGATGATAATGTATAGCTATGTCAGAATGTTTCACATGCCATCAGCTATACAGACTACACATAAGGAGTAAGCATCCATTGGAAAGAAAGGTGAAGGCACAAAATGTTTTCCAGTTTGGCTCTATAATAAACAATGACACCGAACAACAACATTGGTTGACTGCATTGCAATTAAAAACACTCCTCCTTCCTCATTCACATTCAAGTCTAACCGCTATGACCTTAGATAACAAAAAAATCTCAGTAACATTGGGTGGGGACAGGAAAGATGAGCATTGTTGTTTTAAAAAAAGCCAACATGTACACATAACAGAAAACTGCTCAGTGAAATTGATTCACGTTGTTGCTTTACGGTTTTATGAGAAATGTGTTTACTCCGACTTTTCCACTGCCATGCGCCCAACATGGAACACACAGCTGCATCGGGCACTGCTGTTTGAGAACACGGCATCCTTTTCTTCAGTAACTAGGGTAAAAATCATGACATAGAGAAAAACAATTTACAGGCCCTGAATGCGAACGTGTGTGTGTGTGTTGATGTGTGTGTGTGTGTGTGCTGATGTGTGTGTACCAGGGGGCGCAGATCGGATCAAAACCGAACCCTGCCACTGATTTGGGCAGCAGACAAATGGAAAGACAAAAGGAAGCTAAACACCAGACCCATGCAGGAATCTGTGCGGTTTTAGATTTCCATTTGTTCAGCAAAGATCTCCAGAGTAGTGACAAATTCATACTCGGCCTGTGACTCATGCTGTGACTTGTGAGGAATAGATGCGAGCGTAACTTGCTTTGCTCCATTAGTGCAATCTATGTGTTGCATACTACATTACTTGTGGGGGAGAAAAAAAAGGAAGACAAGCTGCCACTGGGCTTCCTCATTCTCTCTGTATGTATATGCTACAGGGCACAGGGGCTCTGAGCAACATTTTGGGCAGTGCTGAGAAATATATGATTAGAAAGTGGAACATAAGTCACTATCTAATTTAGTTGCCTAACCCATCCATCCGTGTACATTCAAGCAGGATTTTTTTGCCTCATTGGCTTTGGTACAGTAAAGACTCTACAATTATACCATCGCAAGGAGTTAAGAAAGTGGAAGGAATTTCAGCTGTCCGTGTCTGGCTCGCTACTCAAATGTCAAGAAACAACCACTGCCAAAGCACAGCTCCATCCCATTAGCTGAATCAGGCTTTTTGTTAAATCTTAACTATAATGGAATGCCCTCCCAACAAATAAATGATCCAAGATCCGCAGACAAAAGCAACAAAAGACTCTCTGTTTCTCCCCGTCAAGGAGACTGTCTAAATTTGTGTCGAGTTGAAAGGTGAGCTCTTTCCACAGGAATGCAAAATAACTGTATCATCGTGGACCGGAGCTTTAACCAGGAAATCCACTCTTTTTCTTTACTGATCTTCAACATGGCATTACAGAGAGAATTTATTATTAATAATAATAATGATAAACAATCTAGTTATTAAGCACCAGTGGCGTGAGGTGATTTTGGAACCTGACTAGGACAGGGGTGTGTACACAGCAATAAAAATAGTAACACACTCACAGTGAATCATCAGTCTTTCTTCCACAAAGTGCATGGTTGCAAGGTACAACAGTCCTTGAGTCCTTACAACGTTAACATGGACAATTTGTGACATGACAGCTCTTAATCAAAGAGCCACAAAACAGAAGAAACATGCGCAGCTCTGAGTTAGCCCTGCCACATTAATGTGTCTCAAAGTGGGACATATATATATAAAAACAAAAGCACAACAGGAGATCATTATTATTATTATCTACTTTCTGATCAGAGGGGATTAAATGAGGCATTCCTGGATGCTTCTCATCCGCCTCTGATGTAGGTTTTGAACAGCAAGTAAACCAACCTGCTCTACAAACACGCCAAACACACATGGAGAAGCGAGAAGAGGAACAAAGTGAGGGCACATGACATGTTTTAAACACACATGCCTTGTACCACACAGCATGTTACTGCACTACACGGCTCTTTACCAGCCCATTTGAAGGCATTGTTACCATACCAACACGCAGCAGGAAATGAACTCCTAACCCGTGTTACTTTGAGCCTTTTTTATCTACATCTCCTGCTATATATATAAAAAAAAAAAAAAAGGCAAACCAAGGCGTGTAAAATTGTGTTATTGCGGGCTTTTCGCGGATGTAAAATACAAGTCTGTTAAAGTGTGTTGTAGATATTTATCGTTATAACAACCGCCTTGGCAACGAAAGAGCAGAACACTTGGAAGTGGTGCAAGCAAGGGTGGAACTGGCAGAGAGGGGAACTTTCATTGTTCAGCCAAGAACTCAGCAACAACTTCACGACGAAGACAACGAGCGAAATAGGACACAAAACACAGCGTACGAAACAAACTAACAAACCACGTGTCGACATATAATCCACGATTTCGCTGTCACACGCGTTTCGTTGTCGTTTACGGGATCTGTTGAAGTTGTGGTTGGAGGTTTTTTTTTTTATTTTTTTTTTTTTTTTTTTTTTTTTTTTAAGAAAGTTTTGAAAACCGGGAGTGTTTCTTACCGCTCCCGAGTCCCAACAGCCTGCATATATCTCTGGTGAATTTCATGAGCGCAACCATCCAGCATTATCGTCTCGGATATCCCACCAAAAATATTGAATCAAAGGTTTAGGTCAGTGTGAACACGTTTGTAACATTGGGACAATCGATATCGAATCTGCGGGAATCTTTTGGTGGTTAGTCCACTTCCTGAGCGTCAAACGCCGACGCAGGGTCCTCCCTGAGCGTCGTCTTAAAGGCACAGGACACCGTTATGATCGATTATTGGGTTCAGATCTTATCACATCGAGGGAGTACCAATCAAAGAGTGACCTCTGTGTATGCGTCTTATAGCTGGTAATTCATTATTTAACACGATTAATTCTGTTTATATAGATTTTATTGTCATATTATATGTATAATGTAAGATAGATCATTTTTAATCCAATGGGGAAATTCCATTTACTAGCCTATACTTAATACACCCTTTATGATGTTTAAGTATTTATTACAATTAATACAAAACACAAGAATATAGGAATTCCACACACTTGAACATGACAAGGTACACTTTCTACAATTTGTGCATCAAGATCCACTAACTAGATTTCTTCTGGAGCATTCAGTCAAATCTAAATTTAAAAAATATTATAAACAAGGTCACCAATAAAGCTAATTTTTTGAGTCTTTTTGGTTTGTAAGGTATTTTCTGTCATGCTAGATAGATGCACAATTATATTAGTCTTTGAACTGGCCTTCCCAATAAAATAGATATTAAAGTAATGGTTGTCTATCAAAGTACTGATCTTGTAGAAAACCCATTAAGCTACAGTCATTTAACATTAACTTCATTCTAACAGTAATTTACACTGAATAGTCAAAAGTGTCCTGTGGATAAATAGGTCACAGTAATATGTCACAGTAAGAAAAGGACAGGTGTAAATAATAAAATGAATGACTGGATTCTATGTAGGTGCTTTTGTTTCAGGGTCCTGATACTAACTGGGACACTTGAATCAAACAGAGCCTGTCCCTAAAATGTCACATCAATCCCACACCAACATAAAACACATCAATAATCAGTTTGAACAAAATAAAACACAACCATTTAAATTCATTTGAATTTATTCATACAAAGTTGTAAAAAGTACCACTCTGCGTCATTTCCATCATTACAGTTTGAGTTCATTTCTGCCTCCAGCAGACCCAATGTTTCAGAGCAGAGAACAATGTTCATTTTTTTCAAATTTTTGAAACCTAATTTCATATACTTGGTGATTTTCAGTTATTATAAAAATGCATTTGTTTACAATGTTAATGTCGTGTTGTGACTTTAAAAGTGGGGTCACAACAGGTTTTTTTGTGGCCGTATTGCACTAGTGTTTAAAATCCGGAGTGATATCCAGTTTTTCCACTGGTGGGCTTTTGACATGGACGCTGAACGGCAGACCTCTTTTATTGAGTCTCTCCTTGTCTCTTACATCAAATGTCAACTGTATTATTAAAATGAAGCCCCCTTTTTTTCCTTTTCAGATCTTTTTCAGAACAAACAGAATGCCCAACATAATATAGAGGAGAGACAGCTGATCAAACATATAGTTGGAGTGAGTTTAGTGTTATGGCTCAAATCAGTTAAATTCACATAAATCAGACAAAAGAGACCACACGCTGTTGCTGTCAGAAGTTTCAGTGACGTTTCAGGTCAGCCTTGACAGTGAGCGCTGCGTTCCAGCCAGGAGAACCCATCACCCCACCACCTAAAAAACAAACATTAAAAATATAAAAACGGTAGATAATGTGTCAGTTTGTTCTTATCATCAGCAGCGAGGATAATAATTCATTCAAAGGTCCAAAGTTTTATTGACTGTGCTTTTCTAAAACTAGACAACGTAACATAATGATTCTACTTTACACACTTTACACAACAAGCCGCCACGCCACATTTGTAATTCAATATCCAGCTGAGCAATTCAATATTCAGCTGAATGTTCAGCAGTAAAAGCAAACCTGGATGACAGCCACTGCCACACAGATATAGCCCTTTAATTGGTGAGCGGTAGTCTGAGAGCGAGGGCAAAGGTCGTGCCAGGTAGAGCTGGTCCAGTGACATTGATCCGTGGAAGATATTCTGTAAAAAACGAGAACAAAATGTTTACTTTTTGTTTCTTGATAGAATTGTGTTATTATGTGAAAAGTTGCCTGCCTGTTTAGGGACTCCTTTTTAAAGTCCTATGCAGAAACATATGAGTAGTACAGTATGAGTTGGTGTCACTTTACACAGTTAATGTGAACTTTGATTCTGACTTATGGGTTGTGGTAAAACTGTCTGTAACCATTAACTGCTTGTATAACAAGTATGTCCCTGTGAAAAGTGAACAACAGAACACTGAAGCAGACGCAAATTACTTCCTCATTCAGTGAAAAGTTGATTGTGTCAAGCAAATCAGATGTGTATCAATAGTCAAATTGCTGCTCAGCTCTACAGTGCCTACAGTGTGCAGTATATACCCCTCCAGTGAGCCCAAAGATCCTCTCCAAGTCAGGCGGTGTCAGGATGTCTCTGCCCACCACCGACTTTTTGAAACCAGGGGCGTATTGTTCCACCCAGTCAAATGCTAAAAAGACACAGAAATGCATGCTTTATCACTGAAAAAGGTTTATCAGCATACATTTAAAGGGTGGCATTTCTTCAAACACTGTTTATCCATTTATGGACATTTAAAAGATAAGATAGACTTTATTGATCCCAAATTCACTTGTTAGCTCAAGATACAGCACAGCACAATAGATAAGAAAATAAACATTAAATAAAAAATAAAAAAAATTGTTAACTATTTTCCTTATTTTACGTCATCTATGTAACATTACAATGTTGGATGTTTATATTAAATGTGGCCCAAGTTTCAAATAATGAGGTAAATGTGTGCAAAAGTTGGCCAATCAGAAGAAAGTTGGAGGGGGGCCTTAAAAAGACAGGAGACATGAACTGACGGGCTACACATAAGGATGTTTTTGAACAGTAAATCACACAAAGATCTAGTTGAGTTCCAGAATAGATATATCATATATTAAAAAGGACAAATTAAAATTCCTGTTAGTAACATTTTGCTGGAACTTTTGTGCTTGAGTAATAAATGTAGCAGCCATGCACATTTAACTATAAGAAGTCCTGGATCATTGTGTGTTACCATTGTCTGCGAAGGCCTCTCTGTCCTGGTCAGTCCACTCCCTGCCTTCTATGTGGTAGGGGGTGAATTGAGTGAACAGTGACACCACATGACAGCCAGGGGGAGCTAGAGTAGGATCCAACACAGATGGGATGGTCATCTCCAACATGGGTCTACAGGAATGCACAGGCATGATGAGACAAAATGGTGGAGAGTGAAGGGTGGGTGAGTTGTTGAGGAAAACTGGAGATAAAAGTATGTAAGAATAAACCTTTTTCTTTTAAGGAGACATTTTGGGGGGTTGAGGAAACAACCGTTGAATATTCGTAATTGTATACAAGTGATTTCTGATATTTAATTTGGTTAAAGGTTACATGGACAGTGGTCAAGCAAATAAACTTTAACTGATATTTAGAATTCCATTCATTCAAGGCCAAGTGTTATCTACAAGATAAGAATATGTGGACATCCTAACCCAGTCTGTTTGAGCATTATATTGACATAAATGTGTGGAGAAAACATTTACTAAAAGGCACATTGTATTATAGTTTTAAAACATATACGTTATAATAATACGCATACAAGTGGGTTGAAGGTGTATATGAGGAACCCCCATATACTAAATACTACTTTTTGCAGCTGCAAGGTTTATCTTAATCTGGCATACTGTCCACGTTGTCCTGTATTCTCTACAGTGAGGAATGCACTGTATGACTAGCTCTTATATACTTTTAATATTAGTTGCTTAGTGCAAATTGTTGAATCTTACTGTATATGAGGAATTAAGAGAAAGCGTTATGCGTGTCTCAGGAGTGTGAAAATGTATGTACTTTGCTGAGGGACGTCCATTCATGGCCTCTTTGTATGCAGTCTCCAGTACCTCCACGCTTTCACAGTTGAGGTGAATGGAGCACTGGTGGTGGGGTCCAGGTTTATCGTCTGGTGTGGGAGATGCTAGGAAGTTTGGTAGCTTGTCCACAGCCACTGTAAAAACAATGTCAGTTTCAGTTTACTGAATATTTCAATTAGGACACAAAACAGAGTAAATTCAATCTAAGAAGCAATGCACTTTAAAGGATCATTTGGGAGGAACCATTCCTGAGTAATAAAGCACTACAGCTCAGACTCTACTGTAATTAACAAGCAGGAGCTACAAGCTGCACCGCACAGGAAGCTGAATAACTCTAAACATCTTTTTAGTTGCATTACATAGTTTTATAATACCCCAAACATTGAAACTTGTGTTTAGAGTACAAACAACTTAGGCAGTGACATAATCTTACACTGTAAGAGCTGATCCCTCCTGATACGCTACATCTGTTTATGTCTTAATGCCAAGTCTCTGTTGTCATCTTCCCACTTCTTTGCAGTGTGTGCAAAGTGTGTAAGTAATTGTTTAGTCATAATTAGACCGTCTAAGTATGACCAATAGTCTAAGTATAACAACAGAATGCAGGGTTTCTAAACATCTTAAATATACGGTTGGAGAAACAAGGCTCACACTGAAACAAGTCCTGTGACTAGTAATATGTGAGGCTTACTGTGACACTACTACAAAATTATTATTCTCCAAGGCAGCTTTTTAGGAGAAAAGGGTCTCCACTGTATCTGAGGAGTGGAAACATTTTATATTATTTTTTAGTTCTTAATACAATTAATAAAAGCATCCCTTATCTTTAGCAGTCAAAACACAACAAAAAAAACAGCTAATGAAAGATCATGATTTGTGGTTTATCATGACAGAAACACAACAGATTTACCATTGATCTTGGTAACAGGTGAGGTGTAGTCAATCTGATCTACGGCCTTGATGAACTCTGGAGAAAGCGCAGCCTTCAATGAAAACAGGAAGCCAGAATAAATCATATTGTATAGTGACATGGTTACATGTGGTGTTCATTTTTTCTTTATTACCTGTGGCGTGAGTTTCTTGAAGGTAACATATGGGGTGGCGTTTGATAAAACAACTTTACTGTGGATCTCTGTGCCATCCTTTAGCACCACTCCCTTGGCAGCCCCATCTGAACCAACCAAGACCTGTTCCACATCCTGCC